GCTGATACCAAGGGCTCAAGTAGAAAGAAAATGTTTTGAAAATGATGGCAACAAATGTACAAATGTGCTTGACACAATGGATGTATGTATGGATTGTGATACGAGTTGTATGAGCCCCCAATATAATGATTTAAAAACGAAAGAAAGTGGGTTCTAGGGTCAGAATGCTTAGGTTTAAACATGGTTTTACCACTTTCTCCAGGTGGCTGGAGGGCAAGTTACTGAACCTCTCTGCCTTGGGTCCTTTCTTTGGAAACTGAGGACAAGTGATTAAATGAGTAGATATGATGAAGGCTCTTAGAACGGAATTCCTCTTACTTATTATTGTGAAGATCCAGAAATAACACATATAAGCCTTACATGTATGACATCCAGTTTTTGGTCTCTCTCTCTCGGTCTTTTCCATGACCTTTCGCTTTCTTCATGCATGATGTCATTCCACACACAACTGGTCTGGCTTTTGGTTATTAGTGCTCAACATATAAAATCTATTCTTTAGATCATCTCTGGGGTCAGGTGGGATACAGTCAGGGTGTACTTGGATTGAGGTGAACAGTTCTAATTCAGTTTCAACTTGAACTTACAGATAAGAAATTGGTAGCTGTTCCTCAACTGTCCTCCTACCTTGTTCTGACTGAGGATTTTTAGTATCTCTATCACCTCTTTCCACAGCCCTAGGTTATTTGATTCCTGTGTGTTTAATCCAGGGAAGCCCACCTTGTATGTTGTTAAAAAGCAAGATCTCCATTGAGTAAGGTGTTGGTCTGTAAAATTCCATCATGTGATCTTCATGTAGTTTCTATTACCCAGGTCATATTTTCTAAGTACCAATCCTTCTTTGTTCTCATTTTTCACATTCCTGTCACTAGTAATTAATTATCAACACACCTTGTGATGTTTGAGCAATTACAGACTGTAGAAGTTGGTAGAAACCTTTCATTTGTTCAACTTGGGCATAAATATAACTAAGGATTGTATTAACCTACCTTTTTTGTAAGTATATAGCTTTTTCCTATTACTGATTGTGCTGTATTTCAGGGAAAATCTTCAAATGCTCCTGTTGATGATGAATACAACACTGTTCCTCTTCAATTTCTCTTTCCCATCAGATAGACCGTATGACTGTCTGACTCAAAATGTCCAAGAACAGTCCATTTCAGCTAACTCAAGCCTAGGACATCGATCTTTAAGTATTCCATTTAATTTTTGATGACTTCCAATTTTTTCAAGATGCATACTTTGTACAGTCTATGTTCTCATTATTAAAGATGTTTGCATCTATTTCTTCTCACTTTGCACCACCTCATATCTGTAAATGAAGGTCCCCCCAAACTTTTTCTATCTACTTCATAAAAGTCAACAGTAGAGTTGAGGAGGCAGCTCTTCCTCAGATGTATTTTGAGTGTCTTCCAACCTGAGAGGCTCATTTTCTGGCATGGTATCTGACAATGTGCTGCTGCCGCTGCCCATAAAGTTTTCATTGGCCAACTTTTTATCAGAGATTTCCAGGTCCTTCTTCCTAAACTATTTTAGTCTGGAAGCTCTGCTGAGGCTTTCCCAACATGGATGACTTGCTGGCACTGGAAATAATGGTGGCATAGCGCTCAGCATCACAGCAACACACAAGCCACCATTGTATGATGAGTGGTGGAGCCTATGGATCTGCTTCCTAAAATTAGCCCCTGAAACCCGCTTCTCCTTGGATGCAGCTAATTACGTTGTAGTGAATCATTCAACAGCAACTAGTAGCTGGAAAATACTTTTCAGATTTAAGTGGTATAACTGTGTTTTAATATAGGGATAACATGTTTTCTTTTTCACCATTGCTTTTTAAATCCCCATCTTTAAAACTTAAAGTGTTACAACATAAATCTACCTAAACAGTACATACACACCATTGCTTTTTAAATATAGAATGTATGTAAATTAAATATATAATGTATATAAATTAGAACAGAGATTATTATTTCAACTGTTATGTCAAATTCCATGTGACATAAGAGCTAGGGTCAACAATTTTCTCATTATAATTTTTATGGCTTAGCACAATATTTTGAAATATATCAAATGGATATCTTAAGGCTTTAAGAATAAGAAATAAAGATGATTTATTTAAGAACAGCTTTTTAAAATTATCTTTCTAGAATGCTTCTAGAATGATCATTATTTCTGTACAGCATTCTCTTTATATGATACTTGTTTGCTCAGAATTCGCAATAACCTGTTAACCCCAGTGCACATAGACCATGTATTTTTCTAAGGGAATCAACGAGCCAAAAAGAATGATGCCTTTCACCATGTAATCACTAAATTTGATTTTCTTTATAAATAGCCTGAGGGTAGGTCTATAATATTATATATCTCTTAATTCCACTTTGAAGGTAAGTGCAAACATTTACCACCCCACCTCAGTTCATGAATACAATCCATATTCTTTTCTGTGAATTAGACACAAAGCCCTATTGATTACATTCAAGTGGCCACTTATAAGTTTGCCTTATGCAATTGCTTGTTGAATTAGCTGAATTATCCACCCTTCACGCAGAAACAACACGTCACAGACTTCATCACAACCCATCCTCTGCTTGAAAGACCCCCTTGGCTTCCCTGCAAGGAGGCGACACCCTGAATCCTTCTGGAGGCTGGCAAGACCCTGCGGGAAGAGGCTCTTCTGTCAAGCTGAATCTCATGACTTGCTTGTCTTTGTTCTTTCTGCTATCAACCACCACAACAATAAACACTATCAATTCAAAGCATTTTCCATGAAGCACTTCATCTCATTCTCACAACTCTGTAAGGCAGTGGGTCTCAACCTTCCTAATGCCGCGACCCTTTAATATAGTTCCTCATGTTGTGGTGACCCCCCCAACCATAAAGTTATTTTCGTTGCTACTTCATCACTGTAAATTTGCTACTGTTATGAATTGGGCAGCCCCTATGAAAGGGTGGTTCGACCCCCAAAGGGGTCACGACCCACAGGTTGAGAACCCCTGCTGTAAGGGATGTCTGAGGTGGTACAAATGATTCATCCAGAGTGCCTTGGAAGAAAGGTCACAGCCATCACAACCCGATGGAGCAGAGTGCTACTCTGGCAAATCTGAGTTGGAACTGATTCCATCACAACCAATTTATTATCTTTTCCTTATTTTCCAAAGGGAATAAATGACTTGAACTAGATCATTCAGCTAGTCAGCATAACAGCCAGGGCTGAAACATGCAGATGCCTGCCAGACCGTTCTTGTGTCTTGACTCTTGTTCATAGACAGGGTATGGTACAAAACAAAGCCTTAATGAATCTTTGTTAAAGGACTTTATAGCTGAGTTCTATAATTAGCCAAAAAGTCCATATGCATATATAACTTAATTGTGGGCCTCAAGTTAGATTGAGATACAGGTGTTTGGGTTTGTACACTTGAATGTATTTTATAATTATATTTATATTTTCTTCATCACACATTTTTGAGCATGTACAATATGACAGCAGCAAGACAGTGAATTATTTATGGCTCTTCTGGCCATCATCGCTGTCACTCCCACCAAGCGACCTTTTCCTGAGGGGTCTGGGTAAGAGAAAACGGGGGAAGATACTGACAGGATTCATTGTGAGTGTGTGTAACAGGATTCACTGTGATTTCCATTCTGTTGGATATAAAGTGAGTCCTCTGAGAAGCAGGAGAGTGGGGGAAATCAGAGTGGGGCATGTCCTCTGACCCCAAGATCCTTGGGCAGTGAACCTCCTTGATCCAGAAGACAGCTGCACCACCAGAAGAGTGATAGAGGAGCAGTAGCAGAGCAAGAGTCAGAGCAGTGGGTTTCCCAGACCACAGAACAGGACAAAGCTGAATGCTTTGGGGCCAGAGGCTGGTTTGTGTAGTAGGGTGCCCCTGGGCATATATTGAGGAGTTGGGTTTGCCACGAAGCTGGAGTGGCATGCCTTCAGGTTGAGGCTTACTGGGTGGGTGCCTCTGGGCACTTAACTCAGGGATCTGGGTTCACTGAGCTACAGAGTGCCTTTCCGTTGAGGCTCACAAAGAAGTGGCATGCTCGTTGGACGTTTATTAACAGCCCTGAAAGAGCTTTGCAACTTGTCCTGACTAATCAACACGATCCCGAGCATTTCCACCTGAACGGTAACCTGCTAACTTCACAATAAACTTCCTGGTCACGAGCATTGCCTGTGAGTTCTGTGTGGCCAATGCAATGATGTCTTAGAACCTAACCGAATGCAGAGAATGCTATGTGAGACCAAACCAAACAAAACAAACCCTCTCAAAAACCAAACTCACGTC